GTAATTATTTCCACATCCAGATCGACAGACCTGTCACACACAACTTACAGTCGCTAAAAGCTTCCACTCGTCTCTACAATTAAAACTCATATGAAAAACATTTAGGGAAAATATTTGGTTCCTTTACCGTGCATCCCTTTTTTTTAAACCCATATAACTGGATTATTCAAGTAGTTTGCAAGAAATGGGACAGTAAATATTTTAAAACACATACAAACAATTTCATTGCACTTTTATCTCTAACTCATCATTAAAAAATATTGTCTTGTCATTACAGCAGAGCAGTCATTACCTACAGTGTGTGTAGTTAAGACAAATAAGAAGAGATGTGGCGTTATTGTTTGACCCTTGATTTCTTCAGATGTCAAAAAAGCTGGGCGTGAAGTCCAATGTCCGTTTATTCTTATATACATTTAGAATTCGGTGTAATATATTTCCACCTTGGCGTGTGACTTTGTTTACCGGGACAGTCACCTTTAATAAGTAAGAAAACACTCCGCTCGCCTTAAGTTCTAGACTACATTCGTGATTTCAAATATGTGTCCTCTGAAAATAATTTAGGACCTTACCCTCTGAATAATTCAAGTTAACTCAAACACACTTGTGTGATTCTTTTTTTTTTATGTTTTATAACAGCTAAAGAGACCCGATTGTATTCTTTTTTAAAAACCATTTATGATTTTCAATCTACATGTATTTTGTGCTTTTTGTTTTAAAGATATTTTTATTGAATGAATCAAAAGGATTGGAAACAAGTTCTAACAACTTACTGGTTCATCTCCTTAAACATGTCATGCAAAATAATTCATAGAAATATATATTTAAGAAGTCATATATGTGAAGATTCTGTCCAATAACGCAGCAATTTCAAATGTAAGGTTTAATCAATAAATTTTGGTCAGCAGCATAAATATTTTTGGTTTGTAAAGGCAAATTTATATCATCCCATAGTAATGAATTGTATCAATAGTGACCAATTTTTCAAGCAAGAAAATGATTATTTCTAGCATTTGGATAATTTTTTTATGCAAAAAAGAAATGAAAAGCATCTTCGTATTTACTGAACAAAAAAAAAGACTATTTAATTTAAACCATATTTTATTATGCATAATCATAATAGGATTGGACAGGCAGGCACTGCCTATATAAGTCCTCTCCATAATACAAGGTCAAAGTCGTACATGTACAAGTAAATATTAGTTACATATCATTGAAAAAATAAATATATACATGTGTATATTCCAAAGAAATTTATAAAAATAAGACAAAATAAATAGTAGAAAATTAATTGTAAGTGAGCTGTTGATACAATATGTTTGCAGTTTAACAAACACGACTAACAAAAATAATAAAGGTATAAATGTGAAAGTTAATAAGAACACATAAATAGATGTTGGTTCTGTGGTTTGACAATTTAAAAAAAAAAAAAGAAGAGAAACAATATCATGCAAAAGGACTATTGATAATAATGCGTTTATATAGATCATAGTTAAGTAATCAGTTTTGTCTTAATTTGGTATTAATTTTTATATAGCGTTTACCAAAAGAAAAATACGTTGGAGGATTGCTGATTTTTGTACACATTCTGAAGTTTTGGCTTCTCTCGCTTCCACTTTTAAAAAATCCCACTGTTGTGTTATGTGTGATAACAAAAAACGTTCCTGGTTTTTAAAATGAAAATAAAACCTTCCACAGGCTAACATTGTGCAGGTATAACTGCGTTGTCTTATTTAAGAATAGTAAATATGATAAGTGATTGTAATAGTAGGGATTAGCATTCTTTTCAAGCTTTGGTCACGGTAGTGGGATTTAGTCGCCTGTAATAATCCCCGTAAAAGAGTACCCTCAGAAATTCACGCCTTGTCTGATAATTTCCATCACTAGTATCACACCAATATCTTTTATAATATTTATTTTACATAAAGAAGTAACAAGTTAATTTATTTTCCTAATTTTGATAAATAAAAGAACGAATATCTTGGATTTGAATAAAATAAAAAGGCATTTTTTTCTTTGTTATATAATATTTGAACATTTAAATACTTTTAGAAATATTTATTTCATACTACTTTATTTTATTATTATTATTATTATTATTATTTATTATTATTATTATTATTATTATTATTATTATTATTATTATTATTATTATTATTATTATCATCATCATCATCATCATCATTTCCAATGTCTTTAGGGACTATTTGAAAACCTTTTAGTGAACTATATGTATAAATGCATATGATTAGCACATGGTTTATTCAAGTTGTCTCTCTTCACCTTGAGTATAACTTCCTTCGAAATCCAAATTGAGAGTTTTGCATTTCTGTCAAAATCACTACGCTTAGATAAATTGGAATTTATTTTTGGCCAAGGGGTACAAACTGTCAACGATGAAATGGGTCATTATGTGCAATGATGGCAAATATATTGACTGGTGTTGAAACAACATGATTAACCCGCGAGTAATTACACCTCAATCTATTATTGTAAGCAACAATGGGAAAAGAATTAAACGGATTATTAAGCGATAAATAAATCATGATCAAATTATCTATCGTGAGAAAATTATTTTCTAGATCGTTAGTTTGAATTTTACATGGAGAATTTTTAACAATTGGCCCAATAATTCATGTGCCAAAACATGTAAATATACATGACAGGGGATTTGTTGAAAAGTAATTAAGGGATCATCTTTTGATTACCGTAGTAAGAAGGCAATTAAGAGTTCAATAATCACTTAATTTCTTTTATTGATGAAAGAAAAAAAAAAAAACAAAATTTGCAACGTAATTTCGTGAAATGAAATTTTTGTATGTGAATTCTTTTCTTTTTTTTAAGTATTTTATTTATTTTTTAAAATTTATATTTAGACATACAAATACATTTAAAAAAATAAAAATTATATAAAACAAGGTATTATCGAGGAGAAGATGTGGTAATATGAATGGCGAGAATTATTTGCTATTTATGGTAACTAGTTCAGTACAGCTTCCGCTATAAGTGGGGATAGTGCGGGGGTAGTTCCGGCTAATGAGGTGAAAAACAGTTCTCGGGTTTTCGACTAAAATTGGCGAAGATAGACACCCTAAAGTCAGGCCAATGCGACAATTTGAAGGAAAACCTGACTAAATTATGCTAGAAAATTAGGTCTGATTGTTCCTAATTTACACCACGGTCCCTCGCTTTGTTACAGTGATAAGCCAATACCTGACGCTGCGAATCCGAGTTATCGTTGAATTTAATTGTTGCATGTTATCTAAAAAATGTCTTTCAATTGCAATTGAACGAGGTGTCAGAGAATAATTGCACAAAACTTCCTAACATCAGATGTAAATTAATTTATCATTTTACTTTTTTCTGTACAAAACTAAAATCTATAATTATGTACCTCTTTGAAAGAACAATATATATATTTTTCTTGAATTTTTTTTTTTAAAGAGTGTAAAGAATTTTGAGTGACAGCTTTGTTATAAGCTAGACTTGGGATGAAGTAATCAAGGTTATAAAACATATACCTACATTATTTGCTGGTATTAATTAGACATTTAGATTTCATTTAGTCGTCTAAGGTAGATTGCATATATTTGGTCAGCCAAGATTTTATTGTACAAGAGGTTATAAATTATCAACGTTCAATTATAGCGGAGGATAGGTCCAAATAAAAGGCAAAACCAATGCAAGGGGAAAATCAAATTTTGTCGGGCGATAAGCTAAAAGTATTTGCACCTAAGTTTAATTGTTAATTATAAAGTCAACAATACCTTTGATTAATAATGGTTTCTGTGAACCGCTATAATCTAGCAGGTCGTCGCTTTTTTACAGAAAACTTCTTAAATGGAGATAACTCACTCGATTATAGGTAAATTAATAACGGATTATCACAAGTAAAAGCGAGCTAGAAAAGTGTTACTTTTTATAGTTTGAATGAACAGACACGGGTCTTTTTTGTAAACGGATTTAACTTAACTCGGGCCGGCGCCAGGCGCTGCAAGCTTTTAACTCATTTGACAAGAGACTGAATTTTGACATGTAAGGCTTAAAACAAGTCCCCTCCTACTTGTATAGAATTTGATTTTTGTACACTTATATTGTGATATGGTCGGAGGAATATTGATTTTAATGAGGGAATATTGCAGGTTTGATTAAGACGAGAGTAGAGTGTAAATCTCCATGTCTGGGACAAGTCTACATCATGTCCACATTTAAAAGTAACAGTTATAAATGATGTCGTGATCGGAAAACCAGAGATTAATGTGACGCCCGATAAAAATTCTGTGTTTTTTTTCTGACTTAATTAATCCCATTTTATTTGAAAAGTTTATTTCAACATTATTTTCATTGTTATTGCCTTGGATATTGCAGTCAATTTGTTTGTCATAGGAACTTTGTAATTTTATAAACATTTACGTATAAAAATGTTTCAATTCATTGATCAATTAATATTCTTTATAGATTTCTTTGATGTAGAAAAGATTAAAATAAATATATTTCTCTGCACAAACCAGACTTCCCTCTCATATATATAATTTATATAGAATATATATAACAGAATAAGTTATCTGTTTTCTGTAACACTGCATGATGTGAGATTAATAACACATTCCTTTTTGTGATTTATCACTGACTCCTCAGAAATTGATATTTTCACAAAAATAAACAATAAATATAATTAAATATATAACGTAGTGTAATTGTGATTTTTTTAAGCTTTACGGTTTGCTGACCAGTACGAAAGGGGGCGTGGTTTACTTGTTCCTGTTTCTTTCTTCACCTGTCATAATAAACTATGTAATCTAACGCGGCGACGTGCTGGCGATATCTGGTATAGGAAAATCTAGCGAAGCCCCGCCCACTGTTAATGAAGGATGAAACATGCAGGATTATTGACCAATGAAAAATAAGCAAGTGAAAAAATATTACACCTGGAATTCAATGTAGCGAAAACACCAGTATAAGTATCCGACTCTATTCTGAGTTATCGAGTTCGTGTTTTTAAATGATTGTTTAGTAGCAATTAATGATACAGAATAAACCACTGATATACCACACACGAAATCACATCGTGCATTTTCTTAATTGGACTTTAACGTGAAATTAGGGACCGATGCTTGTGATTTTACAGTAGCTGAGTGACATTGGAAAGTGACTTTAAAAACTTCTGAAAAATTCTAGATGATTTTTCAAGGGAACAATACGGATAACTTACCCATGGCGTACAACCCGTTTTTTCTTCATCGGCCTTCGGACTATAGTTCCCTACTCGCCCAACAACAGTACCTCTCCAACATAGCACTGCAATCCCCTGGGTATGCAGCGTCACTCCTTCCAAAGCTTGGTCGTAGTCCCCTGGGTGGTGACATGCTACACTCCCTGGGATCCCGACATCTCAGAGGAATGGAGCCCCCAGAAACTGAAGTTCATGATGACCCCAAAGTAGAATTAGAAGGCAAAGAACTTTGGGACCAGTTTCACAAGATCGGCACGGAAATGGTCATAACCAAGTCAGGAAGGTATACATATTTTTATATAATATTTCTTGTTTAAAATTCTAGATTAATTGGCCGTTTTATTTGGTTAAATCGAAACCATATTACTCATTTAATGTATTTGTTTGTTTAATTATTTATTTTATGAACAATTTTCCACCAGATGTCAAAGATAAAAATATTATTTTAAGATATATAAATTAACCTGTTGTAGACAATTATTTTCTTTCTTTTTTTTCAAACATCATAAATAATGTATGTTCACATTTTTTTCTTCATTTATGTATTAGGAGTTTTGTGTAAAAACTGATGTTCTTGCATTTATGAAATTCAATTCTTGTTATAATATAAGCTTTAATTTTGCTTTCATATAGTATAATGATCATCTGTAAATGAGGAAATCTTTTTATAACAATCAAGTTCAGATAATGAATATAAATAAGCAATATTATATTTCGACTTCTCTCATTCTTTAATATTTCATTATTCCATTTTTATTAAAGATGGATTTTTTTAAATATTAAAATAAAGTTCTTTATCTATATTATCTTCAGAATATGTGTATGGGCAGGCCTAATGGATTAAGTTGTGATATGTATCAAGTAATACTTCCGTCCATCCCATAAAGAGCTTAATGCACAATCACATTTTACGATTTAAAATAGACAGTTCTTCATATCACAGATACTTAATCTTGTTAATATATATGTTCCATATTGCGATTAGCGTCACCGTTCTGAATACTACTGTAGCTACCAACATCCGGTGTCATTTTTTTTTTCCTTATCGGGCTCGGGGTGAGGGGATTTTTACGATTTATCGGATATCGCACCCGGGTGGGATTAAGGATGCGATCTGGAGTTGTCTTCATGATGGCGAGTTCTTGACTGAAGGGCCATATGATTGTAAAGTAATCTGAGACTGTCCTCATTACATGACTTTACTGATTACACAATATCATAAATGTGCGATACGCCACTACCGATCTCTCATTTAGCAGCGGGGGGTTTTTGGCATGTACTTATTATATCTAAACTAAGCAGACTAATTAACATCTCATTTGATTTTTCTTTCTCCAACTACTGCTAATTGCACTCGAATAGACCATAAATCGCCGTCCAGATCCTCATCTTGAATATTATAAAATGAAAAAGACTTGATTATTATACTTTTTAATTTATAAAACTTCTTTGCAGAGAACCAAAATTTTTTACCAAAAATTATATTGGCAATTTAAAATACATGTACAGATTTTTTGACTTAATTTTGTAACAATGGTACCGTGCTAAGTAAATTTTTCGATAAACACTTTAAAATGTTGACAAATAAATTCGTGGCTTTTATATTTCGTAGTATATTTATATATAAAAGAAAAAGAAATATATTGAGTACAATTTAGCATAGAATAGTATTTAATGATAAAAAAAAAATTAAATAAAAAAATCTTTTTTCCCAATCGAGAAAGTTCAGTAGTGTTCTAATTTATTCTGATTCTGAGAATGGAAATTATATAATTTTATTTTTCTTTTTTAGACGCATGTTTCCTCCCTTTAAGGTGCGCGTTTCTGGACTGGACAAACGGGCAAAATACATCCTTCTTATGGACATTGTTCCCGTGGACGACTGTCGCTACAAGTTTCACAATAGCCGCTGGGTGGTGGCCGGAAAAGCCGACCCGGAAATGCCCAAACGAATGTATATCCATCCCGACTCCCCCAGCACAGGGGAACAATGGATGCAAAAGATGGTCTCCTTCCACAAGCTGAAATTGACCAACAATATTTCGGATAAACATGGATTTGTAAGTAGCATTTGTTATTTCTTTGGTCATTATTTATTCATTTGTGTCTAGGAAATTCGATTAGGAACGGTTTGGGTAATCTGGGTCCATTTGACACCCGGGTAAGATTTGCTAGTTTATTATATATAATTAATTTACAAATAAAGCCACAAATAGAGCGCCCTGAAGTGTGGTTAGGCCACCTATAACAATACAGAAAAATTACCTCCAAAGTTCATGTTGGCTGTCAAAGGAATCCCGCCAGACGAGGGCTCGCTCCGCAATCCAATTCTATTTACAACCCCCTCTACTCATAAGGATGAAGGGAAAAAAAGCCCCTGGGACGACAAAGGCATATATTAATTTAATCCACACCCTCCATATTTAGCACACATTCTATGGTTTATTAGATTTGTGGAACTGCTGACAAAGTCTTTTATTTTTCGTATGTATGAAGACGATGTTCCACCTCTTGATTTTTTTATGACAATTTTAGCTTTAAAAAATCTTATTAACTGGGTATAATATCAACATTAAAAACTCAAATTTACTTATATGCAAAACACTGTAAACATGATATTAGCAGTGTCATTGAATAATTTCTTTACTATCCCGTAATAAATTATTGACTTTTTTATTTAATGAAATATTTATAAATATACATAATATAAATAATTTCAAATTTGATACAAACACAGTTCTTTTATCTGTGTGAGTTTCTTTATACCTACAAATGGAAAAATATATGTATTTATGGCAGCCAAACAATTATTCCATGCCCATGATAATAAGAGCATTTACATATTGTCAGAGACAACATCAAATTTTCCTTAAACACATCATTTATATACAAAATAGCTGCTAACTTTAGCAAATGAGTTTCCCAGATAATTTAGAATATCGTCACTTTGGACCGAGTAAGAGTTGGAAAATCTCGCTTATGGGGCGAGTTCGATGTGATCGCTAGATTATGGGGATCTGCAGAGACGAGCCGATAAATCCGTCTGTAATCGGCGCGTTGTACTTAGTTGGTCAGTTTGAGAAAGTGGGAAAATGTCTATCTTTAATAGGAATCTTTAGCCAGTTATATGAAGCACGGTGGACACGACATGGCTCATATTCAACTCTGCGTTCAAATCAATTCGCCTTTTAAATTGTGACAGATCGCATTAGATGAAAAGACAGAAGAATTAATGAATTCATGCAGAATAATTGTTTACATAGCCCTGCAAACGCTTTTTGTAAGGTTACCCTACACCCGTTTGTGCAAGTCAATGGTCCGGGTGTCATTTCTACCGTAATTAGCCGAACTATTTGCATCTGCGTACAGATAATTTTCTTCCTATTCGATCAAAGGCTTAGGAGTTTATTAACATGATATCGTTGACTGACAATATCTTGGCAATGACACCCTAATTTGTATTTGATATAACTGCTAGCCTTAGTTGAGACGGACGGATTATAAAGATTTGATAAAGCCGCGATAACAGTGGTGAGAGACGTCCAATTTTACCACATATATGCGAATGACCGGCGTACTAGAGAAAGGACTTCTACCATTGACGCCTCCGAGTAATAATATAATTTAATATCTTGTAAAGGACAAATACTCTTTGTCGCCACCCTGAGAATTTCGATTCACAGAAAGTAAACCACGGTATAACAAATAAGTCTTCCCAGCGACAACATACGGGGATTATTCACACATCTATCACCCGATTAACACACTCACAGGAAGAATAAATGCTGAAATAACTTGTTTTCTGATTATCCATAGATCTTCATCTAAACCGATTTTATGATTTATGTTCTGTTTTTTTTTCACAGACAATCCTGAATTCAATGCACAAGTATCAGCCTCGTTTTCACTTAGTTCGTGCCAACGACATCTTGAAGCTTCCATATTCTACGTTTCAAACCTTTGTCTTCAAGGAAACAGACTTTTGTGCCGTAACAGCGTACCAGAATGAAAAGGTAACTATATCTTTGGCAGTCATCATCAACAATAAACAAGACAGCACTTAAATTACACAGATACACCGTGTTCCAAATTTCTTTGATGACCACACCAGACTCTTAGTGGACATCATTGTAATTAATTAGCAAGAAATTAGTCTGTGACAGAGACAGTTAATGACCAAGAACCAGAGCCCGGTTATCAGTTACAGAAACAAATGTTTGGCTTTGCTTCATTTGAGGGACCGGTTTACATGATTCTCACAAAGAAGACCAAAGAACCCTTATCTACAGACAACTTGTTTAAACAAATCGAACGCGATTTGTGGTATCAGTCCCATCAGGACGTGTTCCATGGGCACGACCAGGCGCCCGACACGTGCGTCTTTGCGTATACAAGGCATGTCCATAATTGCGCTTAATGACCAACTAATTAGAGCACACGGTAGATGTATATTTTCTGAAGCTCCGGACTGGCCATTAGTCCCTCGTTTGATTGAAAATTCCAAACTCTGGTGTGCCCGATTGCATTTAATGCTTATTGTGATTATTTGAATTGTTTGTTGAATTGTTCGCAGTAATAACCCATATGGCTAAATTCTTTCATAATTTTTAATTTCATATTTTCAGATTACACAGCTGAAAATTGACCATAACCCGTTTGCCAAAGGTTTTCGAGATACCGGATCAGGGAAAAGAGAGAAAAAGTAAGGAACAGTAGAGTGATGTTTTCGCATCTATCCAAAATAAAACTTAGCACAGAAATTTACTTTCAAAAATCACATTCCTCTATTTTTTCTTCATTTGTTTAACAGGAGAGTGATATCACACAATAGTCAAACAACAGTAATATCGCCAGAGAAGTCCCGAACAGACGATACTCAAAGTGATGAGGAAGACAACGAGGAAATTTGTGTCGATGAAACAGACGATGTACAAAGCGACGTATCATCTGCTCACCAGCTTAAAAATTTGGCAAATACCGGTAATTTTTGGTTATTATTTAATTTTATTTTAAGACACACATAATAAAATTGAATGTTTAAGAAACTGTCATTTAAAGGGTATTCTTGTAATGTTTCTTCTTTATTTCCTTTTTTACAGAACAAGAAAAGTTTAGTGCTGTAAACTCATCTTCACCGAAGAGACCAGAGACTCCTACAAACTTAAACGACAGCGGAAAGCCTGCGAGTCCTACAGAACCCTCAAAAAGTCGCAACACAGACAGCGATCTTTCCTCGCCGAATCGTGACGAGTTCAACCGATCTGACGTCAGCAATTCCACATTCAAGAGTATAAGTGACCACGAAGGAGAAAGTAGTGATGAGAGTATCCGCGATGACCGCCGAAAATCACCGGACTTGTCGTCAAGTGCTTCCCCCATTGAAAGCATTTGCAAAGAGCCAACCAAACCACCCAATGTGACAGTGGTACAGCCCTCTGCTACGCATGCTATGTTCCCATTCATGTATCCCTCTAATGGACTATTTTCTTCGCCTTCTTCGATGCCCTTTCCCCTGGGGCACATGTTTGGAAGCGCCCCATTTTCTTCACAGCTCCCATTCTTCAGTTCACCACAACCAGACATAAATAGTTTACCTCCAACACATCCATTATCTCTGTCACTGAGCTCGCTCTCACCACACAATCAGACATTGTTACAACCAGCATATTCTACCGGAAATTCATCGTTTACCGGAAGTAGTTCTTTTTCCCCTCCACATGCACAAGGATCTCACATCGGACCCATGTTTACATCTCGCACTAGTCCTAGGTTTACGCCTTACTCCCTCCCATCCACAAAAACTACCATGTCGAGTTCTAACTCTCCTGTATCTACGGCAGGTCTCGGACTAGGTTGTGCTCCAGATTTAATTTCACCACGAACGCACGGATATGGACATCACTCACCACAAAACCGCAGTCCCGTGTCTCTAAACATTCCTTCATCATTTGACTCGCAAAGCAGAAACAGTGAGCTCCAAAGTATGGAGAGAATGTTAACAGGACTTGATCGAAACAAAATGATGGCGAGTAGCCACATTGAAAAATGAGCCTTAATTTGATAATTTTTTAATGAACGGGTGATATGATGAAATTTATAATACACTGTATGTGTGGTATACTGATTTGTATTGTTCAATATGATTAATTTTTTTTCTCTAGTCAATGGTCATTGAATAATTAATTATTGAAGATGATTTTACCATGATTTTTTTCTTTTCTATATATAATATAGTTTTGTACAGAACTGAAGTATGCACCTTTTTAGACTTGTATATCGACTTGTTACTATAGATATATTGTTATTGATTTCTTCTCTTTGTTACTACTTTATGTATGTAAATCGTTACTATATTCATTAAGTTCTTTATTCGCTCGGCGTAACAATATTGCTGAGGTGTAAAATGGCTCCATTATTATTCATACGGGCATAGTGCAATAAATTGTTCTTTTGAATATGAATAAAATAAAGTACGAAAATATTCACAGTCTAATGTTTTAATCTTCAAACAACACGATATGGTAACATGCAAGCATTTTATATTTCAAAAGGTAATTTTTATTTTCTGAATTGCTTTCAGTACATACGAAACACAGGGAAAGAAAATAAAATAATTCTATTTTGCAAAATACAGTTTCTGAAGATAGTTATACTGTATGGAACTGTAAGTTTGAGGTGATTCTTTGAGTACACCTGTGGTTCCAAAGAAAATTACAGGAAGTTTACATTACATGTTTTTTAATTACAATACCCATCTTTGAAAAATTCAGTAAGGTTGATATGCATACCTGCGCAGGTATACTCTATTTAGGGGCTTTTGTTGCATTAAAAACTATCTTTGTTTATCTATCCACATCTTGCACAAGAGGTCCTTTAGAGTCGCTCGATGTTCACACCGATAGGGGTATTGCACTATGTCGATCTTTGTTTCCAGAAATCACTGAGTCCCTGTTTAGACCTTTGCCAACACAGCCTTCTGTGTACAGTTCGGATTTCCATGCGTGTCGTTTACAATTTGTTCACCTTAGTTTCAATGGACGCGATAGATAATTTTTTGCAGGTGTATAAATCGACAAGTTTCTGAAAGGAAGTCAGCGAGGCGTCCCCAAAAGCTCTTGGTGGTGCACCTACGACTAAGTTTGTAAAAGACCTCAGTACGGGTCATTGGTATTTGTTGTAACTCAATAGCTCAGTTAGGAGTTCTTAAGTAACATACCCCCTCCACAGCATAAGTAAAACATATGACTTTTCTTCTTTGTCACTTTATCGTTATTTGATTGTATTGTGTGATGTTCTTCGAGCGAAAATTTAGCCAAAGGAATTATGTCTTTAAATCCACTGCCGCTCTTTCGGGATGATACTATTTCGAGTATTTGGTACTAATAAAAACTAAAAAGAATTCAAGCGGACAGTTATAGAATTGTTTTGTTCTTTCATTTAATTTTATACCCAAATGATCAATGACATGGGTAATCCCCATTTAATTTTTCAATTCGAGAAAAGTCGTATATTTGTTGTTAACTTTAAAACTATATGTATTAAATAATCTTGCAGAAAGAATAAGAAGACAAAGACTGGAAACGAAACAAATCAAGAATTATAATCATATATTTTTTTGACGACACTTTCAACCGGTGACTGAAAAGTTCACTGGTTTTTATTTTTTTTATTTTTATGTTATGCGTGTTTTGAAATACTAATTGTATATTAAAATGTCTTCTTCTTTTTTTTTTAACAACGATGATAACTATTTCCTGGATTTGTGAAATCGACACATTTGACTTTACAATATATCTGGATCATAGTCGATATTTATATTGTGGACTAATCAATAAGAAAAGTTTTACATAAACGGACATTTTCTTCTGATAGTCTCTGGCAAAAATCAATGGTCTTGAAGAAACCCCCTCTGAAGAAAAGCAGAAGCGTGGCGCCCTAGTTCAGCGCCACGATTGAAATATTGCTAAACACAGTATCATATTCTTGAAAATCTTTTTTATTGCATTGAACTAAAGGGACCTAATTTTCATCCCGATTCTTATATTGTTAACCGTGGGTTTGCTTTATTGGTTAGTTATTAAGTAGTGCGAAAGAAGGCGTGGATTTTCATGTAAATTTGGTCTATTTGAAGAAAAAAATATTTCCGCCAGAAATTGCTTTTGTTACGAAGGACAAAGTCGTCCCAGATTTTCCAACTCCCAGTGATCATCTTATCACCATTAACTTTGATAGTGTCCAGATTTTCAAATATGCTTGTTAAAATACGGCATGGAAATACTGCATTAATTGCCGTAGAATTGCAGTGTTCGGTTTCCCAGTGTCAAAGAAGCATAGCCCATCTGTCGACCGTAGCTTTGGCCACGGCTCTTTTTTAAGTATTCTAACAAAGGCCGTAATATGTTTGGTAAATAAAAAATATGCATATATTTTAATTCCTTATAGTTCTAAAGAATCTGATTGTTTTCTTAAGTGTTGCCTAACACGCGTCCATGTTATCTGGAACTTTAATAATGAACCAAGAAGTTCCGTGTATTTTGTAAATATAATTTCATTTACTTTATTTTATAAGTAAGGAATAATTATTAATTCAACTATTTTCCTAACAATAAAATGAGAATATCATTTATAAAATGTTTTTTAAAAAATTCAAAATAATCTTAAATTAAAATTAGAGCAATGGGACTACACTGATTGAAATTTTGATAACAGTTTTTTAACAAAAAAAAAAAATAAATAAATAAAAATCAAACATTTGAATAGGTTTTATTACATATTTTGTGCTTAATATTTTTTCTTAAATAATTTATATATATACATAAATGTACCATTGGTATTTTCTCTCGTAAAATTGTCATTATTTCTAGCTGTTCTTAAAAAAAAAAAAAAGAAAGAAAGAAAGAAAAATTAAATGCACACTGTTACTCTTTTTTCAAAATGGGCGGTTGCTTTTTGACTACATTTTTCAGACGCGGGATTTCAGTGCAAAGAAATAAAGAAAAAATTAAATCGTCGTAAAAGTTTTCAGTTTTGATCTGTACGACCCTAATTACACTGTAAATGGGAAAAAGACACAGGATTACACATGTTAAATTAATTCCACGACAATGTTGTGTTGTGTTGGACATTGTTACACATGCTTAAGGAAAAATCCCACAGACTGATTCTACTGATAAATACACAAAAAATACAGGAGATTAGAATATGATAAATATCATATAAAAAATCTAAAATTAAAAAGATATATACTTTGTTTCCGACTTTAATTAATTCATAAATTAATTATCACTGTAATTGTGCGTTTTCTTGATGTTTACTTGATCAGCATGGCGGCATGTTTGATTGGATTTGTAACCTAGTCCTGAAGGTACAAAGCAACAAGATCGGGGGAAAATGAAAGAAACAACTCTCGTAAAATGATAATACCAACCCCTTTATAATATTTATTACTGCTTTTCTATAAAGATATGACTTTTGAAAGGAATTAAATTTGGTAAATTGAAGTCTTTGACTGTTTAATAAAATTGAAGTTTGATTTTATAGAGTATAAACAATTCCATTTGGTTAGTGGAAGGCTGCAATACCCCGCGCCAAACACCATTACACGTTTTCTACACTAATTTTAGAAAGATTATAACCTCATTTGCCTTGTTTTCATGTGATTTATTTCTTATTTTTGACATTTTTTTCAAGAAAAATTCGTTTTTCCTTGTGATAAATCATGATTTTTTATAATGTAGTGCTCTTTGTTGTCTAGAAAAGCCCCTCGTGACCAGTAGTCTTCGACAGTTTGTTTGATGAAAAATCTCATAAACTTGTCATGTTATGCCCCTACAAGTTCAGATTTTGTTTTCCCCTAAAACCAAGATGTTCATAATTTGATTGGGATTACGTAGTATTTTGTCCTTGTCTTCGACGTACATCTTACGACTGAATGCTTCAATCGCGGACACGGGAGTCTGCAGGGATTTAACACTGATCTGATAAAAAAAAATCTTCTGAGGAAAATCGGGGATTGTTGATACATTTATCGTAAAAAATGAAACATCATCTTGTATTATGTACAATTGGATTGTAGTTTGAGGCTTGTAATTGATTCCAGAGACCTGATCGGAAGGCCTCGGGCACGGATGGTCCATCAGAGCGCGTGCATGGCGACAGGGGGTATATCTAATGAAAACATGCGGGAAATATCCGGCTGGACATTCTCAACATGTGACAATTTATCAGCATGGCATCGTTTCTCCCAAAAAGTTAGGCTAGCCCGAACACAATGACATATTTTGTGCTGAAGGCTGCTACAGTGCTCTTGGGTTTTTTGCTCCTACATCTCTTTAGTAAATCGTTTACAGACATCATACTTAAAGCTGTCAAATTCAGAGCGGGCCATCATATGTTTTACATTGTTATATCAATATCTGGTGCAATCTTTTACATTTATTTCTGATGAGTGAGCTATTTTATCTAAAACGTTGTTTGATATTCAGAAATGACAAATGTTTTAAGATAGTGTAACATGTCAGGATTTATTTAGTTTTAATTTCTAAACCTACATGAACATTTCAACTGATAAAAGAGCATTTCCTGCAGCAACAGCAAAAAAAAAATATTATCATGGTTTAATTTAAAAAAGAAAAAATAGACAATATTTCAATGCAATGATTGCATTATTTTTACAGTCAAAAAATGCGTTCATGGTGTTTCGACTTCTGGGTTCATAATTCAAGTTCCAAATAACAGGAAGGCTTTCTGTGGGGTTGAGAAATAACACAATAGGTAATGAAAGGTAAATTAGGAGAAAATAAATGAAACTCAGCTATATCCCACGACTGTTTCCAATTTTAAAAATTGATTTAATTTCTTCGAACTTATGAATAAAAAAACGTGATTATTTTGTTTTCTCCCCCTTACACGTTTCATGAATTTAACAATCATTTAATTTACTCTTTTCTTTTCATCTTTGTTCTTTAATTTGCACCGGGTGTACCAAGAAAACAGAAGAAAGTTACACCAAGAAATACTGAAATATTGTTCTTTATTAGAACCGCTAGTTTACAATTAGCGAAGACATTGGGAAGATGACAATATTTAATTTATACGATTGTTTGTCGGATAACCCACTGATTCAGTCGCCATGGAAATTTCCTAATCTGAAAGAATGGCATTTTTGAGCTTCCAGTGGTCATGTGCGTGTGCGGGTCTCAACGCTTTACTCGGCGGAGGATAGGTTTTTCACAGTTATAAATAATTTCTTTCACAATATGTAAGAACTATTCTACCATCAAATGAACCAGATGGCACCGTTACATATGGTATTGTTTTAAAGTGTAGGTTCTTGGAATGACAAATTTCCAGCTATTACATAAATTGGTTGAACTCCAAGTGTGAAAGAAAGATTTACAAGTTTCGGCAATTACCAATAGACTGTTCGTGGCACGAGGGCCGTTGGAATCGCTTCTGAGCTACTG